CCGATGAGCTACCTACGGCGGGCGGCGACGGCGGCAAATCCAAGAAATTTGTGAGTGTCCCTCCCACCCCGCTCCCACAGCCCCGCCGGGTAACCGCCCTCTGTACCCCGGAGACCCTCGCTGCTCGCTTCGGGGGCGCCTGCCCATCTCCAGGGAGCCGCCCCCGCGTCTCCCTTCCTCCTCTCGCTGGGTCCTCGGCTCCGCAGCCCGGCATCGTCCCCCTCCGGGACCTCGGGAAGCCCCGAGTCCCACCCGTCTCTTGGCTGGGCAACCTCGGGCTCCTTCACTCCACCGCCCACTCGCCCTGCCCTGCGGCCCCCAGAACCCGGGCCGGCTCGCAGCCCCTCTCTTCTCTCTCAGTCCCACTTCCTTTCTTCTTCCTCTAGTATCTGAACACGCCTTCTCTTTCTTGGTCCCCTGTGCTCGTCTGGGTCCATTTTCTCTTCGTACCCATACCCCCTTTTTAGTATTCTCTTATTTCCTTCTCCTAAAGGTCACTTCCTTCCCCCATGATTGATCTCTTTCACCTGCTAACTTTCCTCCCCGCCCAGTCCCCCTTCTGGGCCCTAAGCCCGGTGTCACCTGATAATCCTTCCCCTCAGGAATGTTACCTGACTTGGGCCCTGCCTTCCCCTCCTCCCTTGGACATTTGTCCTTGCGATTACAGTAATGCGTTCCTGCCCAGGACCTACATGAGGTTAATTTGCTTCCCAGTATTTCTCTATGCAAAGAACCCGACTCTTTGCCCTGTTGCTTATCACTTTTCAGGAACTTAGAACTTCTTATGCCCTGCTTGGCCTAGGATGGTGATACACCTCCCCTGTGGGGAGGCGGTTAGACTTCAAGTCCAAGAAGTCTGTGAGTAATTAAATTGCTTCTTGTGTGTTTCCCATGATAACCATCTTCTTCATTCTACTGTGCCACCTCCTGTGGCCTAAAGCTACTGACATCCTTGTCCTACCTGTAGAAGAGTTGAACTTTACTCCCCTGCCCATTACTTCCAATCTGAGTCTGAAGGAATATTGTTAATCACTTAACCCTATTGTATTTCATTACCTTTTGCCCACACTAAATCTTCTTTCTTCTTCTCTCCAGGGAGGTATTTGTTTGCTTTTTACTATGAGAGTTTTGAAAACTATGGAGCACTGTCCAAGGGAGGCAGAGTCTTGGATCTTATTAATCATTTGTTAATTGTAGCTATAGTTGTTTAGACTTTTCTTCCAGGTATTTGTGCCCCTGCCTAGTATCTCTTTCTACTAACCAAAGGGCTTACTGCTGTTACCTCTTTCTTTCTCTTAGTGCTCCTCCCCAACCCCAGCATTCAGACCCAGTTCCACAAGTTTGGGAAGAAAACTGATAACTGAAGGTTGAGATGCAGAGTGTACTGAACAGAATTAAAATAGTGACTCATCTCTTCCTACCTATTTCTAGCAGGACCAGGTGCTCCTGAACTGGCCTTCCCAGTGACAAACAGGCGTCAATATGCCTGGTTTTATCGGGTGAACACCCCCCCCCCCCATGGAGGGTTAATAGTTGTGACACCCCTTCTCCCTCCGGTGACTAAAACATTTCCTCTGTGTTTCTTTAGGATAGGAATTGAGCCACTAGTTAGAGAACATTTCTTCCAAACCTTAAGTTCTAGGGCCCACATTGCTTCTATTTGTGTATATTTTGTTATGATTTTTGTTTCTATGGGTACTGTTTGACCTTCCTCATCCGAATTACAGTTATTCCCACTGATTTGCAGCGACCTCTGTGACTTGTCAATGTTTTTCAAGTGTTCCTTAGAAGTTTAGATGTGCTTTCACTTTACCTAACACTTGTGCTTCACGAATTTGTAAAGTCTGGTACGTGTGTGGTGCTGTTAGGTGAGAAACAAGAGGAAGCTCTGCTTTTCACCTGTTTTTTTGGACCGTTCATGGAGACTTGTATATGCTGAGTGGATTTGGCTCTGGGTTGTCCTATTTGCTTTAGAGGGGGTGGAGCTGAACTAAGTTCTCTTTTTTCTTGCTGAGGTTTTGGTTTTAACCCTTAACCTCCTGATTATTTAAAGCTAGATGGGACAGGTAGTGAGAAGAATTGAATGAGTAGCTAGGGAATTGGAAAGTTTCTAGGGCAGTGGTGCTGCTTAACCCTTACATTGCCAAGTATAACCCTGGCTTAAGGAGTCTGAGTATCCTGCCTTTCTTACTGTTCTTTTTATAAGAACTCTGTGGAAGTGAGATGAGGAGGAGCACTGCAATCCACGCCTTTGGCATCCGTGTATGTATATGTGGGTGGGCAGAGTGGGAGAGATTGCTGGTGTGCTTTTGTTACCCATGGCTTCGTTTTCTTGAACTGCAGGCTAACACTTAACTCAAAAGCTGTTTAGCCCACTCCACCTCTTCTCAAGTGTGTGTCCTCTGGATCTCCATTAAGAATGTACTTTATAAAACTTGCTGGTTTGGACTAAGTGTGCACAAAAGTCGTTTGCATTTGAGGGGTTACAATCCCTTTAGCTACTACATACCTTTCTGGGCTTACGTTGGTTCTAAGTACAGATCAGCGGCTGAGAACACTCTGTGCTCACAAACTGCCTAAGATCTCTTGGTTTCTTCTGAGGCGTCTTGTGTGGAAAAGAGATGGTTCTAAGTTTTAGAAAGCTGTTGGGGATTATCTCTTAGAAATACATGATTGTGAGGCCAGTAGGTGGCATGGTGGATTGGGCGCTGGAGTCTCACATGGCTGACCATAATTCTAGTCCCAGACCTGGTGGCTTGCTTTCTTATTTTTTCTCTCTCTCTGTCTCTCTCTCTGGTGAGTGCACGTGCCCTGTAGCAAATAAAATAGTGATAATAATAAATACAATGAAGTAATTCTTAGAAAGAGAGAAAGAAATGTATGCTTGTTGCAGATGCTAGTGTGAGTAGCCAAAACCATGTTACCTTGTGTCCTCTCTTGTTTCTTCATGAGTCTGGTTTCTCCTGGGCTGTGAGCATGTCCCTTCTCTAGCATTATTCCACTTCCTTTCCGAAATGCTTAAGATGAAGGAAAATGACAGTTCTAAGAGTGTTTTCTGACTTTTCAGCAATGATCGTCAATCAATCAAATATGCTGATTCCTGAAATATATGTAAGGGGAATAAATACAACCAGGGTGTGAGGAGGCTACAGAATATTCCTGCATGTCATAGACTTTATCGAGAAATTGATACATTCTAAGAAAGAATATTACTTCCTGATTCAGCTAGGAATATAACTTTGTAAAACATGAATTTCAGTGTGGGATTTGAGAGAATAGATAATTTTTACAATTCTGTTTAATGTTAGATGCCTGTGTTGAATTATTACCACGTTGCAGTTTCACACTTTTGTAAAAGTGAAATGATAGTGAAAGAATGAATGTTTGGTCCCAGGCCCTGTCCAAAATGAAAGTAGTTAAAGGTGAAAGATGCTTAGTGCATCCTTAGAGAATGCAGAGAACTTGAAAGAAGTAGAGTTCATGCAGATTTCTGCTTATCTCCTCTTAAAGACATTAACTTTTATCCAAATGGTCACAGAAACCGAGAAGTATACAAAAGCTCTGTAGAAGGCATGGGATTGCTTTAAAAGGTGATAAATACAGGAATTATTTAGTTTGGAAAGAGAGAAGAACCTACAGGAATGTTACTGAGATGACAGAATTTCTGCTCTTCTTCCTACTTTGTCTTTAAAGACAGTCCAAAGATCCACTTGATTCTATTACATATATTTGTCTTGAAGAAAATTCTCCCTGGGACTGGAAGGTGGCATGGTGGTTAAGGGTGCTGGACTCCCACATGGCTGACCATGGTTCGAGTCCCAGACCTGGTGGCTTGCTTTATCTCTTCCTCTCTCTGTCTCTCACTCTGTCCCTCTCTGGTCAAATTAACTAATATAAATAAATACATAAAGTAAGTAAGTAAATAAGTTAAATAAAATCATTCTTAAAAAAACAAAGAAAAATAAAACAGATAGTGATAGCAGGTGGCTTGGTGATTGGGGCACTGGACTCTCACATGGCCAACCGCAGTTTGAGTCCCAGACCTGGCAGCTTGCTTTCTCACTTTCCCTCTTTCTCTCTCTGGTCAAGTTAAAAAAAAAAAAAAAGAGAGAATAAAAGAAAATTCTCCTTCAAAAGAGGTGAAACTGAGAGAATCAAAACCTCTGCCTTGGGAGAGTTGGTAAACATCAGGATACTTTTTTTAAAAAGAGCTAAAAATTTTTTTTTTTTTGAGAGGTTTTTGCTATAGGGCGTGTGCACTCGCCAGACAGACAGACAGAGACAGAGAGACAGAAAGCAGGAAATCACCCCCCAGGGGGGATGGCCACGCCGCAATCCCTTCTCCTCCACTCTCCTCTCGGGATCTTGGGCACGCATGCACACGCGCCCGGCGTGAGTTTAAGCCACCGGGTCCGGGACTTGAACCACGGTCGACTATGTGGGAGTCCAGCGACATAGCCATTACGCTAACTGCTGGTCCCAAAAAGAGCTAAAAATTTTATGACCTGAAAATTATGTTTATTATAAAAGCTAAACAAATAGTAATAAATGAGAAAGGATTTAATGTTATTGATGGACACGTGTGCCAGAACAGACTAATTTTATTTTCTGTATGATAGAATGGCCTTTTGTTAGCCCTGAGCATCCTTAGTGTATTTTATAAAGGGCTCGCCAAATTTTTCTTGGGGAATATTCGATCTTCAGTGAAATGTAATAGAGGCTTAAAAAATAAGATTATATGTCAGGTATAATTTAGGACAGGTTAACATCATATTTACTAGGAAATACTAGGAATTACAGAGAAATAAAGTGTTTGTATATGTATATGTTCTCTCTGATTTTTGTATCTCAATAGCTGAAATGATTTACGGCTGGGAAAACCATTTTCATTTTGAAACTTTGTTTTACTTAAGCATTTTCTCCTTTTTTACTTTGCGCCTCCTACTCAATCACTTTTGTTTGAAAGCAGTAGGAGAAAAATTCACCTCTTACCAGCAAAGCAGCATTGGGGTTTCCCTAGTTAGGGTTAGGTGTGACAAAGCCACGCTCT